TTAGACTACTGCAACTCCATCTACTCACCACTGAGGGGTTCAGACCAAGCCACCCTAGAATGTGGCACTTTGGCATGAGGATTATTCTGAGCTGAAGGCAACCAAGACCCAGCAAGCTCAGGAAGAGCTTTTTACCTCCTCCTTAACTGCCTCAAAGAAATTAGAAAGAGGACCTGTACCAGGAAGAGAATTATTTTTTATATCTGAGAGATTTATCTACATGGCAGAGCACACACTTATTTTACTAAACATTTGCAATTCTCCCCTTCCTGTGAATTGCCTTCCTTGCCTTTGAAGCCCTAGACCCCTATCCCTTTCCTGAACTCAGGATAGTATATAAGCCTCAGTTACCTGGCTGCCTTTGAGTCTCTTATCTTTGTGGGGCTCCTGTATGTACATAATTAAATTTGGTTTTCTCCTAGTAATCTGTCTTTTTATTACAGAGAGTTTCAGCCAAGAACCTAGAAGGGTAGAGGGAAAATTATTTTTCCTCCCCTACAGCATCTTCCTCTTGCAATGAGTATTTTGTGAATACCAAGTATCTTTCTTAACTACTGTTTTGACTCCTTTCTCAACACTACAGGCTATCAAATCAACGTAACTTCCTTGATCCCATGCCTTTAGGCTTTCTACCCAAATCTTTCTACTCCTTATCTAAATGTTCTCGCCCTCGTCTAAGCGCTTCACTATAGTTAAAAGGGTTCTCAATTATGCCCACCTGCACTTCTTATTTACCAGTCAATCGTGCATGCTGTATTCTCCAAGTGGAACGTCCTTTACTATTTTCTAAGCAAAAAAGTTACACTTCTGCATCAAAATTCTAAGTCTCACTCCTCCTCCTAGAGGCCTTCCCAGGGTAGCATTGTCTGTTTTGAGTCACTTTAGTTATTGCTTGGTCTAACAGATTACATGTTACTTGCCTGTCATTTATAATCATATTTATGTCACTTAATTACATATATATATATTTAGGGTAAAGGTGGGGATTCTCTTAAAACTAAGGACCATTAGCTCACAACAAAATATGCAAAAAGAAATTTGATTCAGTGTTGTGGTCTTTGGCATAGCAAATACTACCGGCAGTATAGTGCTTTTAGCATAGACTCTAAAGGCAGAGCACCTGGGTTCATAATCCTGGCCTTGGTACTTATTGTCCTTAGTATCCTTGGACAATTACTTAAATCCATGCCTATCAGTTTCATCATTTGGAGTTACTAGAAAAATTACGTGAGTTAATATAAATAAAATTCTTTAAAAAACATCTGGCACATAAACTCAACATAATCATCTATTATTACTATCACGCTGTTGTCTTAATCAGCTCAGGTTGCTTTAACAAAATACCATAAACTGGGCGGCTTTGCAACAACAGAAATTTATTTCTCACAGTTCTGGAGGCTGGAAGTCCAAGATCATGGTGCCAATATGGTCAAGTTCTGGTGAGAGCCCTCTTCTAGGTATCCTCATTGATATTCTCACATGATGGAAAGAGAGCTAGCTAGCTCTCTGGCCTATTCTTATAAGGACACTAATTCCATTCATGAGGGCTTCACCTCCTGACCTAATTACCTCCCAAAGGCCCCACCTCCAAATACCATCACAGTGGCATTAGGGTTTCAATATATGAATTTGGGGGACACACAAACATTCAATCCACATCAACTATTAAGACTTCTATCCTTTTAGTCTATGGTTGAGAATATTGAAGCTCAAAAAATCTACCAGCTTGCCAAAAGTCACAAGAACAACTGTAAAGCTAGAAGAGAAACACAAGACTCCTAGTCAAGGAGCCACTCATCTCACCATGGTAAACTTCATTCAATAATTATTTTAGGTCTTCAAGTCCATTTTATGATAAAGAAAAAATGGTAAGATGATGAATGAAATCAGAAAAAGGAAAATGAGAGACATTTACATACTTGAGGATTAGAAAAGAAGAAAGGAATATTGTAATGATCAAGAGATACGTTCATGCAAATGGAGGGGAGAAGGAGGTGGTTCAGAGAAGTGAGTTAGGAATACTAGGCTGGAGATAACTATCAGGGTTTATTTTTCATTCAGGATATGAAGATATTGCTACTCGCATTTTTGAAAATCACTTCTCTTTAGCAGTTTAGAAAGACTTTTCTGTTCCATTAAAAGCTCATCACTCTTCAAAAATGTGTAAAATATTTTGATTTTTCACATAGAATTTTGGTTTACACATGGACAAAGGAATAATAAATTTCAGAAATTTAATAAGCAAGTTTTAGGGATGTTAACATATTTACCACCTACATTTTAAAATCCTTTAAAAGTTTCAACTTATGCATCATGTTTAGTTTTTTTTTTAAATATGTGTTTTTTATTTATTCATATATTTATGTACACCCCAGTAACTTTTTTTTTTTTGGTGAGGAAGATCAGCCCTGAGCTAACATCCATGCTAATCCTCCTCTTTTTGCTGAGGAAGACCGGCTCTGAGCTAACATCTATTGCCAATCCTCCTCCTTTCCCCCTCCCCGCAAAGCCCCAGTAGATAGTTGTACATCATAGTTGCACATCCTTCTAGTTGCTGTATGTGGGACGTGGCCTCAGCATGGCCGGAGAAGCAGTGCATCGGTGCACGCCCGGGATCCGAACCCAGGCCGCCAGGCACACTTAACTGCTAAGCCACGGGGCTGGCCCTGCGTCATGTTTAGTTTTTGAGCAAACTGTAAATGTATAAAGATCATATTCAGAACCATCACTATTTGACCGTCTTAGGTTATTTCCTTGGATAAAAAACCCAATGGTTACCTAAAATACAAACTCTATCCTAATAAAAATACTACCTTCTCCCCACAACAAACCTCTAAATGAAAAATATAGACACATCAGTTTGTCAGGGCAGGAAATGATGTTTTGTAAGAATAATATCTTCCAGAGTATTTGTTAAACAATATGTCTCCCTTATTAACATACTCTGCTTACAGCTTTCTATAGGTTCCTCTCCTACAGCAGCATCCAATACATAGCTCAGGCCAAAATAAATACCAATATTACTAACTGAAAGGCTCTGGTACTGGATATTTTATGGACCTATACTACAAAGGTAAATTGTTGAAGCTTTTACATGCTTTTAACTTAAAATGAAGATAAAAAGATAAACAGTAATAGAAAATATGTCCAAAAAGTATTTTCATAAATACATGCTTTGTATGTAAAACATACTTCTGTAATCTGAATTTTATATATCTAGAGACGTCCATTATAAAATTGACAATATGGTCTTCAGAAAAAAAGGAGAACTCGCAGAAAACAAGAAAGATTGCTCTAAGAACTATTAAACAAGGTAACAGAATAAAATGCAGGCTTAATATCCAAAAAGAATGCACAGTTGTCAACCAGACTACCAATTCAAATTTCCAAAAATAATTCAAGTTCTAAGAACTTCAGAAGAAGAGAGAAAATGATAGAAAACACCACAACTCCTCATCCCTTCAAGATACACATCCTTGCTGATGCTCTGGGTTTAACAATGTGGATTTTTCTCCCTTTCCTTCAAATTCTGGCAATAGATGCTAAATGTTTTGTACTCTACATTTTCACACAATTAAAGCGTGAAAGCCTAAGTGTTAAGTCTGCTAAGCACAAGTGCCACATCTGTTTTAAAAGGCAGAAGCTAGAGGGCAGAAACTGAGGTTCATTCCCTCTCAAACCATTACATACATAGCTCACTGACCATGTCAGTCTTAAAACTCTGTTACCAGAAGACTATGCCACCAATACAAAACTTTAATATCTTAAACCTAGGTTTGTATAAAACTGGAAAGTGTTCTGGCCTAAGAGTTCACCTTTAATTCTACATGGTTTGGTAACTGGAATATTGAATTCCCTCTGCTGGCTCCATAAATCTGCCGGGATAAACCCCATTGCTGCTATACCTCATGGGCTCACCTGATCCCAACTTAAACCCAGCTTAAGCTCCTTGTGTTTGAGGTTGGGAAGTTTTATCTCTCTACCAAGAATGGTCACAGAACAAATTTATTTGACCAAATGTTTACTCAGTTTCCTTCATCTTATCTTATTCCCTTTGCCCTGATTTATTCTGCAAATATTTACTGATACCTATTATAAGTTGTGAAAAATACTAACACTGGAGATACAAACATATTTTCTCCGCTCTTAGGGGATCACGGTTCAGCAAAGGAGACAGATATGGAAACAAATAATTTCTACAAAACTCTATACAAGAATTTTGTAAATATTCTTACACACGAAGAAGTAAGGAAAGACTTCACAACGTGAAATGGGTCTTGAACAGTAGGGTAGGATGGGGTGTGTGTGTGTGTGTGTGTGTGGTGTGTGTGTGTGTGTGTGTGTGTGTGTTAGCTGAGATGCTGGAAACGCAGAGCTTGAGAAAAGCTGAAAGGTAAAGTTAATGTCTGATGACAGCCAAAGTGTTGACTAAAAATATGTTACAATAAACAACTTAAGATATCAACTACAGCTCCTTTTCTCTTTCATTCTTACAAATTAATTTTAACCATGAATTTACAAGAATTACCTTACAAACAACACCCACACACTTAAGAGATTTTGTGTACAAAATAATTATTACATGGTTGAAAGCTGGAAAAAGCATTTTCAGGACAATCAGGAAAATTCAATGTAATCAGACTATATGCAGTGAAAAGGAATAGTTTTGTTATATAAAACCAGTCCTCAATGTTGTAGATGCAGAGGAAAGAATACCAAATTAAATCTCAAGAGACCTGGATTCAAGTCTCAGTTAGACCAGAATTGTGCCCTAATTACAAAAAAAACCCTTTTCCTTAATTCCTAAACTGCCCACCTCACTCAGAGTTAAGATCAAATAAAATAATGAGTTTGAAAGTGCTTTGAAAACCTAGAAAATGCTATACAAATAAACTATTACTTTCATTATGGTTATACTTGCTGTACTGAAAATAACTTTTAAAATCTGTATTTCTGACATAATAACCCCATCATACTAATTTGTAACAAAGAGCTTTTACCCGTTCTACAGATCGTGCTCTCTTCTTTGGCCGAGTAGGCAGCGCATCTTCCTTCGGATTGGTGTCTATTGCCCAATAGGACCCCTACAGGTAAAGAAATAAAGTAATTAACAATATGTTACAGCAACTCTTTAACATTAAAATGGATTTTACAATCCTCTGCTCCAAAAGCAAACATTTTGCAGATACAATGGTGGAAAAGCGGCATGAGAAGAAGTACTAGTTTTGAACCGAGACAAGTAAAGTTTATATGAGAAAAAAAGGCCATTTATAACCACATTATTAAAGAAAAAAAATCACAATCTGAAGAAGCCAAGTTCAAGAACTTCTGCCACAGCCAAATTAAAAAGAGAAATGACCAACTGAACATATTTTTTAATATATAGTAATCCTTTTTTGTGTGTGTGAGGAAGATCAGCCCTGAGCTAACATCCATGCCAATCCTCCTCTTTTTTTTTTGGCTGAGGAAGACCGGCCCTGAGCTAACATCTGTGCCCACCTTCCTCTACTTTATGTGGGATGCCGCCACAGCATGGCCTGACGAGCGGTGCATCGGTGCGCGCCTGGGATCCGAACCCGGGCCGCCAGCAGTGGAGCGCACTTAACCGCTATGCCACGGGGCCGGCCCCTATCCTCTCTTACTTTTTGATACAAGTAAGAGAAAATACATTCAAAAATACATTCGAAATACTCATTCGAAAATACACGGGGCCGGCCCCGTGGCGTAGCAGTTAAGTGCACCCGCTCCACTGCTGGCAGCCCGGGTTCGGATCCCAGGCGCGCACCGATGCACCGCTTGTCAGGCCATACTGTGGCGGCGTCCCACATAAAGTAGAGGAAGGTGGGCACGGATGTTAGCGCAGGGCCGGTCTTCCTCAGCAAAAAAAAAAAAAAAAGAGGAGAATTGGCATGGATGTCAGCTCAGGGCTGATCTTCCTCACACACACAAAAAGAAAGAAAGAAAGAAAATACATATTGAGCACCTACTGTGTTCCAGGCAACTCAGAAATTAAGACTCCCTCAAAAAACATTTTGAAAAGCATAAATCATATAGTTTGCACATATTATACAGATGAGGAGATCAAAGCTCAAAAAGCTAAAAGTGGTTTGCTCAACCAAGGATGTAAGAGCCAGGACCAGAATCAAGGTCTTGATTCTTAGTTCCTTTCTCCCTCAACTATCCTCTCTACACAGACACACACACATACACACTCTTGAGGGAAGAGGCAGAGAGTAAGAAAGGGAAATATGAAAGAAAGGGAGATATGCATTTCAGAAACAGAAATATAATGCATGCCCTAGTTTTACAATTAATCCTAGTGATAGTATTAAAGCTTAGTCTTTGCCTCTATTATTTTATTAATCTTCCTAGGCTGCTTTTCAGGCACTATTTGATAATGAGGGAAAACATAGCTCTCATCTATTAACCCTCACACTTTGTGCCCAATATGAATTATCTGTTTATACTTTCACGCAACTGTGCCTGCCCTACATGCTGATCTCATTGCCTATAACATCCACACTACCATTGACAAACTCATATACCACCTTCAAAATTTAGCTCAGATGTTATCTAAAGGAATCCACCTCTGATCCTCCTACCACACTCAAGAATTCAACATTCTGTCCCTCTTCAATATCTCTATACTTTTTATACCTTTAGACCACTGATTGCACTTAACATTACAATTTTATTCACAGGTCTGTATCCCTTCTAGGCTATGAGTTACTTTTTTTTTTTTTAATTTTATTTTTATTTATTTTTTTCCCCCCAAAGCCCCAGTAGATAGTTGTATGTCATAGCTGCACATCCTTCTAGTTGCTGTACGTGGGATGCGGCCTCAGCATGGCCAGAGAAGCGGTGCATCGGTGCGCGCCCGGGATCCGAACCCGGGCCGCCAGCAGGGGAGCGCGCGCACTTAACCACTAGGACACGGGGCCGGCCCCCTAGGCTATGAGTTACTTAAGGGTAAGAACTCATCTCTATATCCACAGTGCCAGGCACAATGTCAGACACAGAGCAAGTACTCAATAAACATTTGTTGAGGGGCCGGCCCCGTGGCTTAGTGGTTAAGTGCATGTGCTCTGCTACTGGCGGCCCAAGTTCGGATCCCGGGCACGCACCGACGCACCGCTTGTCCAGCCATGCTGAGGCAGCGTCCCACACACAGTAACTAAGAAGGATGTGCCACTATGACATACAACTATCTATTGGGGCTTTGGGGAGAAAAAGGGAAAAAAAGGAGGAGGATTGGCAATAGATGTTAGCTCTGGGCCAGTCTCCCTCAGTAAAAAGAAGAGGATTGGCTGATCTTCCCCCCCCAAAAAAAAACAAACAAAACTATATTAAGAGCTGACCCCCCAAAAAAAAAAAATTTTTGTTGAAATGGGAAGAAAAAAAGTTGTTGAACAAACTGTGCCAAGAATGTCAGAGTACACGATATGATGCCAGGCATTCCCAGATCCTAGTCTATGCAGGCATCTGAACTTAGCACTCATTCCATCACCCAGCCACTAGTGGGGCATTCTTCCATGTTATCTTTTCAAAGTGGTCACTGGATTTCAGCTGGTGAGTCTGCCAGATCTGATGTAAACTTGCCAAGAACCATGTAAAATGTAGATGCTAAAGAAATTAAGCACTAAAAATGAAAACAATGATTTCATGAGTATGTTCACCTAACAATATTCAAAATAAAGTAGGAAAAAGTTTTACATTCAGTTGTTATAAAAATTGAAAATAAAGCAGGAAGAAAAACACCAAAACTCGTTGGACAACAGTTTAAAAACCACTGTTCATGGAAATGATAAATTCCAGTGTTTAGTTTTGTTTTGTGTCGGTGTGTGTAAGTGTATTAATCTGGGGAAACCATTCACTGTCCAAACTTTAGACTGATTTATTATTAAACATTTTAATAAAACTACAAAATCGTATTTGTTCTTCCACAGAAAATATGACTGGCTGTGGCTTGTCACAAATAGATAACAGAGACAAAAATTGTTCATAAGCCTAACGTTATCCATTATGTACTCACAAAACTGTGAATGCCCAAATGCAAACACTAACAGTTGAAATGATTTGCAAAAGAAGTTGTAAAATCTTCCACTTAGTGGCTTTTGCTAACTTATTATCTGGGTTTCATCTGTGAAATCACAAGTTTGGATTAAATGACCTTAAAATTGCTCTTCGAAAATAAAAACCACAAGATACCACTACACACCAATTAGGATGTCTATTATAAAAAAAAACAGAAAATAACAAGTGTTGACAAGAATGTGGAGAAACCAGAACCCTTGTGCATCACTAGGGGGAATGTAAAGTAGCGCAACCACCGTCAAGAACAGTATGGCAGTTCCTCAAAACCTTAAACATAGAATTACCATATGATCCACTAATTTCATTTCTAGGTATATACCCAAAAGAATCAAAAGCAGGAACTTGAACAGATATTTGTACACTCATGTTCATAGCAGCATTATCCACAATAGCTAAAACATGAAAGCAACCCAAGTGTCCATCCATAGCAGATAAATAAAATGTGGCATACGATGGAATATTATTCAGTCTTAAAAAGGAAGTAAATTCGAACGTATTTTGCTTCAATATGGGTGAACCTTGAAGACATCATGCTAAGTGAAATAAGTCAGTCACAAAAAGACACATACTGTGTGATTCCACTTAAATGAGGTACCTAGAGTAGTCAAAATCAAAGACACAGAAAGTAGAATGGTGGTTGCCAGGAGCAGGGGAAAGGAAGGATGTGGAATTATTGTGTAATGGGTGCAGAGGTTCTGTTTGGGAAGATGAAAAAGTTCTGGAGATGCATGGCGATGATGGTTGCACAAGAATGTTAATGTACTTAATGCCACTGAACTCTACACTTAAAAAATAGTTAAAATGGTAAATACTGTTATGTATCTTTTACCACAAAAAAAGTCCCTTTCAGCTACCTTTAATAGGCAGTTACCTTTGCTCTCCTTACTAAACAATTATGTCTCACAAAAACTGAACTGCCTAAATATGACCAATCAACAAACACATGTTCCATCCAATTTCTTCCCAGACTAAGGCTTACTCCTCTAGGCTCATGTGGATCAAGCAGGAAACAACAGTTTTTTTCGTTTTGTTTTGTTTTTTGTGAGGAAGATCAGCCCTATGCTAACATCCAAGCCAATCCTCCTCTTTTTGCTGAGGAAGACCAGCTCTGAGCTAACATCTATTGCCAATCCTCCTCCTTTTTTCTCCCCAAAGCCCCAGTAGATAGTTGTACACATAGCTGCACATCCCTCTAGTTGCTATATGTGGGAGGCCACCTTAGCATGGCCTGACAAGCAGTGCGTCGGTGCGCGCCCAGGATCCAAATCCAGGTCGCCAGTAGCGGAGCACACGCACTTAACTGCTAAGCCACGGGGCCAGCCTCAAAACAAGAGTTTTTTGTTAGCTGATTTTATTTTTAAAACTCAACTTTATTGAAGTATGTCTAAAAAAAAAAAAAAGTGCACCAATTTTGAGTATACAGTTCAAGGAGTTTTGACAAATGTATACATTCATGCAGCTAACACCAAAAGCAAGATATAGAACATTTCCATCACCCTAAAAAGCTCCTTTGTGTGGCTCAGCAAGCAATCCCTGTTCCTTTGCCCCCACCTCCATTCCAAACATCGATCTGCTTCGTATCATTATACATTAGTTTTGCCTTTTCTAAAATTCCATATAAATGGACTCAAACGGTCAAACTGTTTTCTACTCCCACTAGCAATGTATGAGTTCAGCTGTTCCATGTCCTTGCCACTAGTTGTTATTTTAAGTCTTGTCAATTACAAACCATTCTAGTGGATGTGTAGTTGTACCTCAGTGATTTTCATGTGCATTTCTCTAGAATAATGATGGTGAGCATCTCTGCATGTTCTTATCTGCCATCCGTATATCATCTTTTGTGAAGTGTCTATTCATCAATTTTGCCTATGTTTTATTTGTGTTATAAGACTTTTGGTTAATATGAGAAGATGGATGTTAGTCGAACCTATCGTGGTGACCATTTCACAATATATGTAAACCAAAATACAGTGATATATATCAATTATCT